GTGTGAATATATATGTTTTCGCTTAGGCTTTGTGTGAATGATGTATACAGATGTAATACGTACAAGATATATATAGCCAAGCCAACTTAACCTAATTTTTAGGCGAATTTAACAGATGTTGGCATTAACCGTTATCAAATTTGCGCTACGTCAAATGAACAAAAAATGTACAATTTTTTCATAAAATTTAAGTTTATATAGTTAAACAAAGATAAATACAATGTATATAAACAGACCGCAGTATATAAATTGTGTATGCGGTTGAAACAGGGAGTTTTTATAGTGGAATTATAGTATTAGTATCTGGTCTGCATTGTCACACCACACAATCATTCCGTCACGTGGATCAACAACAACAACGACGACGACGATGACAAACAATTAGAATTATTTTAATGTCGCAACAGCAAACATAAACGACATGCATACAAAAAAATTTGTCGTTGATGTTTTTGTTTATGTGGTCGTTGTTGTCCGAGTTAGAACAGTGGTGCCATAAGAGCAACTGTTGATATTTGTGCCATATTTCAGTAGCAGGAGGAACCTGGAATGTTCTGCAGTCAGTGCGGTGAGTTATGCATCAGTGTGGGAAACATTGGAAAATTGTCGTTGATGTTGATGTGTTTTGTTGTTGTTGTTGTTGTTGTGTGGTTGGTGGGTTATTGTTGTTGTGTTGTTTTTATTGTTAATGTTGTTGTTGTGTGGTTCGTGGGTTATTGTTGTTGTGTTGTTTTTATTGTTAATGTTGTTGATGATGTTGTTGCAAACGTCGTCGTTGCGCAAGTTGCATTATAAGTTCGGTTATACGATATTTTTACAGCTCGTCGCGCGCCCAGAACTTTTATAAACATTTTATTTATTATTTCTTTTATTATTACAATTACAAAGGTTGCTGTTGTTGTTGTTGTTTTTGTTGTTGTTGTTAATATCGATAAAATAATGATACTATTTCCCGCTTTTATCATTTTGTTTGAAGTTTCGTTCAAGTTTTAAAAGGGAAATTATTGCGGTTAACTGTACACAAAACGATGAAATAAAATAAAAAACTAAAATTTCATTTTGAATTTAAACTTCACACCACACACACACAACACACACACACAAACACAAAACTTTACATACAAAAGCAAGCACAAACTAACAGACTGACAAGAAACATTAAGAAAGCCCATAACAAGCGAAGTAAAGCAGCTAGCTCCATGCATACTTCATCAGTGGATACTGCATCCTTTACTATCGCACGTTAAGTCAGATGTCACGTGGTCTGTCTGTGACGTCATGTGACGCTTAAACATTTCCCGCAGAACATTCTAAGGAAGAGCGTTATTGAATTTTATGCGTCCGCCGTAATACGGTGACGGTGATGTTTTAGATGATGATGACGACGACAACGATGATGGCACCAAATATATTTGTTATTTTAAAAATTTAATTTTTTAAATATGCAAAGTATGATGGAAATGATGAAAAATATGTGTAAGGACGACGGTAGTTGGTGGTTTTGGTCGAGTTGAAAATGTGTTTTCTTTTTACTGTTGCTAATTTTATGACTATTTAACTTTGCGAGAGACAGAATAAAGTTTAAATCATTTTTTTATGAAAATCTCGTTGGTTTTTAATTTTTTTTACACAACAACTTTTATGTGCTACCAAAACCAGAACACACACACACACAAACGCACGCACACACAAACACACACACGCGCACGCACACACACACACAACACAGACATCGATTGCAAGTAGGTAAGTAGGTAGGTACAGTTTCAAAAACACCAGGATGATGATGTTAAGTTTCGATTCCGTCAGTTTGGAATGCTAGATTTTAAGAGCTACTGGAAATATGACACTTTGTTCTCTGAGCTAACAACTTGAAAGCAAAAAAGTTTTGTTTCAAAGTTTAACATTTTTAATTCAAATTTTAAAATTTTTTGCGTTAAAAGGTTTTGGACAAAAAAAATGTTCACTCTGTGTGGGCAAACGGATTTTTGCAACAAAATTTTTCTTAAAATTGGTTTTAACCAATTAGTTTTTGTGTTAAAAATTAGATAATTATTTTATTTAAAATTGAATTTTCTCTGAAAAATTTTTCAAAAAGCATTTGCCACGTATTTCCACGTTCCAACTCCCGTCCAAGTTATCTACCGTTACGTCCTCTTCTAACTTCTCTCTATTGAAAAAATGAAAAGTTCAGTATTCATCAATAATTCTCTTTAATAAAAGTAATCCATGATAAGTTATGTGACGCCACTGATTATAAACTCACGAAGCTAACCACAAAACTCTGACGAATAGACAGACAGGAGAGTCATCATTACGAGCGCACATCAGACAAATTCTGGAATACGAACGAAGTGGAATAAAAGTGGGGGTCACAAAAGATGATTGCTCAAATAAAAATGAAATAAACCGCTCGGAATGTTTTAAGAAGCCATGCAAATTATAATGAGAAGTCTGTCTCCTTATATGTGCAGAATCTACGTTCTACTGCATAACTCTATTTTCTTTTGTAAGTCTATTGCATCTATTTTTTCCTGCTATTCTGTTGTGATGAACTATTAATGTTTATATTCTCAATAATTGCCTCATATAAATGTAAGTACAGATTAAAACCAGTTTTTGTTATTTTGTCATTGCATATTTTTGCCTATATTTTATTTTATTTCATGTTATTATTGATGTTATTAATATGAATGATTTTCGTCCATTGCTGCCTTGCCATTAAGCCAGCCATAAAGTTAATGTCGGATGTTGTTGTTGTTGGTGATAATGTTTGTAATGATCTTAGCGTAGTTAGTGTTACTGATGATGTTACTGATGTTGTTATTGATGTTATTAATGATGTTATGGATGAAGTTATTAATGTTGTTGATACGACTGTTAGAATGGTCAATTATATGTGTTAATGGTATTGATAGTGGTGATGGTTTGGCTGGTGTTGGTAGCGTCCGATTTTGTGTAATGTTGTTTTTGTTATGTTTCTATAAATTAATGTCCATATTACGTTCAATTGTAAAGATCAGATTGTTTTTATTTTTGTTACAATTTTGATGTTATTTCCCAACATTATCATTGAAAGATGAAATAGTTATAAAATATTACAATTGTTGTATCCAATGTTAGTTTAGGAAATTATTTGTATTGATTTTGTTGTTGACATTGATGTTGTTGTGAATGTTGTTTGTTGATGTTGTTGTTGATGTTGATGATGTTGTTGTTGCTGATGTTGTTGTTGATGTTGCTGTTGTTTTTAGCGTCGAATCCCACGGAGAATGCAGGCGAAGGTTTATGTTGGTTTGGTTGTTGGAGCGTGTTCACCAGCATGTGACCGCCACTCTAATCCACTCCATCGCCTTAGGCCAGTCAGCACTGCCTCTCTCGTAATTTTTTTAATTTAAATTTTATTTCATATATCTGTTATTGTAACATTTTTTATTGCTCCATTTCATACTAGTATTTATTGTTCAATTTCATATACCGCAAAAGTAAACAACAACAGACAGACAAACAAACAACATACAAACAGCAGCAAACAAACAACAAACAAAGGAACAAAACAACAGCACTAACACGTTGCAAAAATAAAGAATAAAAACGCTTCCATCATCTTTGGTTTCATATGTCAACCCAACGGAATCACTACTAAAATACTCTGGTGTATATCGGTAAGGTAAAAGACATTTTGAATACCTTTTTAGTTATTTACAAACATTCAATCGTTTATAAAAGGAAGGAATAAAATTAAAAAATGGCCTATGAATCAAATATTCAAAAATTTTCCATTATATTTTTAGGTCTATGGCCTCAAACGAGGTGCAAAGATTATTGAACTTTGTGGAATAGTCGGTGAAGAAATATATCTTTGAGAATGAATAACTTTTGTCAAGAACTTAATGTGTGCGTGAGTATTTGTGGGTGTGTGTTTGTGTGTGTGAATGTTGTGTGAATGTGTTTGTGTGTGAGTGTGTGTTTGTATGTGTATGTATGAGTGTTTATGTGCGAACTAATTACAACATAAACGAAAATAAATAAAACCTGAAGAAATAAAAATGAATGAGTGAATGAATGAATGAATGACAGAATGGGTAAACAAGTAATTAGATGAATAAATAATTGATTGAATAAATGAATGAATAAATGAGTGAATGAGTGAATGTGCAAAAGAAATTGCCACAGCGAAAGAAGCATTAATCTTTTTGGAAGCAATAAACAAGATGGTAAGCATCGTGAGAACATTAATCAAGCAAATATTTTCTCTGTACTTCATACTACCTTATCTACCTACCTACCTTACCTACCTACCTACCTACCTAACTACCTACCTAACTACCTACCTACCTACCTACCTGCTTATTATATACCTTCAAGATGATGATGATGATGATGATAACGGTGATGATAGTGATTGGGGTGATGAGAACATAAATCAAGCAAATACTATCTCTACATTGCCTTACTTATCTTTCAACCGACATTCATGATGATGAGGGCGATATTAATGATGATGATGAACATTGTGTCGAGAATGATGATAATGATGATAATGGTAATAATGCAAGTGATGATGATGATGTGTGTGTTGATGCTTGTGATGATGATGATGATAGCAAAAAAATCGTATAAATCACGGAATTGAAGATATGACATGCGGTTTAAAATACAAAAGATACAAACTGAAATAGGATTATGATTGAAGATGGAGATAAATATAACCAAGTAGAAACCTTTTAAATTAAAAAACGCCTGTGATTCTAGATTCATTTTCCCGCTGCTTCATAGAGATGACGACGATGAAGACGACGACAATGACGATGACGAAAGGTAGAGAAAGATGATTATGTGATGATAAAGAGAGTGCTAATAATGACAATGATAAAAAAAATTGTAGTGGTAATAATAACGATGATAAGACAATGATGATGTTTGTATTGATAATGATGATGACGATTATAATAATGATAATAATGATGGATGTGTTTTAATAATGTTTTGCTGTCCGTTTAATTGGTCAGCTGGTCAATTGCAGCAGAGATGAGGGGGAGTGGAGGGAAGAACAGAGTCTTTACGAAATTTACGGACACCCTGTTACACTGATGATGATGACGACGACGACGATGATGATGATGATGATGCATGTGATGACGATGATGATGACTATGATAATTACATACATCGACAGACTAATAATCGTACAAATAAAAACAATGGAAAAACTCATGCAAACAAGTTGGGCATTTAAATGTAATTGAATCTGACATTTCACGCTCCGGTTGGCGCCTTCAAAATCATTCTGTTCTGTACAACTTTGTACAATGTCGGTGTACACTTTACACTCTGAGTACGCACACACTTGTACGCAATCACGTGTGTGTGCACGCACTATGTACAAATGTTTGTATGTTTTAAGTGCTTTAAAATGAGTCTGGTTTTACTGTATGTATGTATCTTATTGAATGATTTTGAGCAATTAGTTATATTTCTTAAGTCATGTGCCTACAGTACAAACAGGCATGCTTCAAACTGTGCTGACGATGGTGATGATCATGCAGAGGTGGACATGGGTCCATTTTTACTGACCCAACCCAACCCATCACTTAACTCAACCCATCCCAACCCAACCCGCCTGAAAATGCAACTTTTCAACCCAACCCGACCCAACCCAACCCGACCCATCTGCACGAGTCGCAATTTTACCAAACAGGCAAATTTTTACAAATGATATTTAAAAAGCAGAACTCAAAAATACAAGATCATATGTGTAATAAAACACACTGGTAAAGTAATTACACTGCAAGTGTAATAAAATAACATGAAAATTAATTAAAAATTAAATGTTACTAATATTTTCCCACAACAACGTTAGAAACATCAAACTTTCCATATTTGGCACCTAACTCAACACAGCTCTGCATCAAATTGAGAAGCCCTTTATTTTCAACAGATTTGAATGAGTGGTAACCATCAACACAGAAAAAGATCTGTCTATGCTTCAACATCATTAATTCTAGAGGAGACGGTTGAATTTTTCGTTTCAAGCATTGCGGGATTTTCAACTGTGACTTTGGCAAGACTACAGCACAATGTTTAATATGTTCTTGCTGATTTTTAGTGCCAAAGTTTTTACCTGATGAATCTTTAAACTGATATACCTTATTGCACTTAATACAAGCACAATAGTAATTCACGGGAATTTCGCTTTCATCATTTTCCTTTTTTTGAAAAACCATGTGAAATTTCTGCCAGATTTCTGATTTTAAATTTGTGGGTGCTTTTAATATATACCACCCTGTTTTTTCTGGAAAGAATAAATATTTAAATACTTAAGTATGTTCAATCAATCAATTAAATTTATCTAATGAATGGGATTTCTAAACTTCAACAGCGCCCAACTAAAATTTGAAAAATAAACCATTTCTAGGTAGAAAAAAGAAAGAAAATGAAACATGAATATCAGGTAAATAAGTAAAATGAGCAATTGAGAAAAAATTCTGATGTCTGTAAAGTGTAGCTGTAAAGACTGAAGAGATTTGAAATTATGAAAAATAACAATTAAATCTTTAAAAAAGGAATTAAAACATAAAAAATGTAAAAATGTTAATGTGAAATTTATTAGATTTTTTACTTTCGCAAACTTAGCAAATTTAAATCACACAAACCTCTCAAATGACGCTGAATTTCTTCTGATTCTGCCATACTTGTAAATAAAACTAATTTTCTCGATCGGAAAGAAGTTAACTTTTGCTCAACTCAATAATCACAAAAAGAAAGTGGAAACGATAGACCAAAGATACAATGATATTACAGCGATATAAAATACACCGATTATTAACTAGTTAAAATGTTCGTTTAAGAATAAAAAAAAATACAGAAATAAATTATTTATAATAAAATTTGAAAATTTCAACCCAACCCAACCCACACAACTTTATAAAATTTGGACCCAACCCAACCCAACCCAACCCAACCCATGGGTTAACCCAACCCATGTCCACCTCTGTGATCATGTGGTCGTCACCATCGTCACCACAGTTTGAAGAAGCACTCGTACTTACCTTACTACTCTCATATGCATTTCATAACGTAACCCTCCGATTGTACACACTTTCACACAGAAGCACACACACTCACACATTCACATACATGCACAGACGTACACACACACACACAATCATCATACGTCCACTACAGAGTACAGAGTCATTTGTACGAAATTCCGTTTTCCTCGACCACAAATACAAACGTCAGATAGCAATGATGAAAAATTGTGTCCAACTCGATCGCAAGCATTTTCCTTCCGTGCATTCATACATTCGAGCGTATACGTGCAAACATACATGCATGCATACACACGTACGCTCCTGCAAACATTCACGCATGCACACAAACATGTATGTGTACAAACATACACAGCATGAATGCCTTGAACTGACATTTGGTTTTATTACACCAAATTGCAATCTTGTACATAAACAAATTTTTGTGTGTGCTTATCAAACCTTTTATATTCATCCCCAAAATATGCTTTAAAAAGAATACAGGCTTCGAGTTTAATTTCAACTTTAATACTAATTAACATAATTTGTCATTTTTTGTGCCAAGCAGTTAACACAGTTTGTCCAGTATATCTGGTTATAGAGATGTACATGTGCACACTTGTGTACGTTGTTCACAAATAATGTACAAAGACGATGAACACTGTAATGCATAGGCGCAAAAGCAGAAACACAACTAGATGCATTCTTAGGTTGCACTTACGCATACACGCGCACACACGTGCACAAATACACACGTACAGAACATACGCATACACATGTTCGTACAAAGCATGTTTTTGCATGTTAATGTGCTGTTCGTTATTCCGATGTCAGATTGCCCTCGTACTTGCTTGGACGAGGGAAAGTACATGAAACGTACAAACAATATTGTACGCTTGTGCACTGTACACTGTTTTTGTACATAAAAATATCTATAGTTAAATAATTAGATTAATATAAAATAACAAACACACACATACATCTATATAGGTGCGCGTGTGCGTGTTTCTAACATAAAACCGCCACCAACTGCTAAACTTAATGCATGCCTTCTGATTCGTACCGCACTCCTCGTGAATGGACTTCTGAAGCAAATTTATGAATATGATTAAAGGCGAAAGTATTTAAACATTAAAACACACAGACACGTGGAGCGGATGATTTGTATGCAGAGATGCACGTGAACATGTGCATGAATCTCCCGTGTACGTTGATATGGAACCATCCATCAACATTTTCATCAGGCTGCATGTCGCATCGACGCATCTTCAAGCCATCCATCTATTTGCTCCCAGTTATTCATCAATTTGTCCGCTGTCTGCCTGCCCGCTTGCCTCATTTTTTTTTGTCTTTGTTACTGCTGTCCTGGTCTGTTTTTATTTTTTTTTTGAAGATTAGGTGCGGATTCGTTGTTTCTGCTGAGAATTAAGGCAATGATGTTTTCGTTCCGCATTCAGTTTTTGTTTGTGAAAGTTGCTGGCGTGGTGGTTGTAAGATTGGAGATTTAAACGATGCTAGATACGGTTTTATTGTTGCAGTATTTGTTGTTGCTCTAAATGACGGATGATTTCGAGTTAGATTTGGAATGTTCGGTGATATG